GGGCAGACCCCGAAGTGGCCCATCTCGTACTTTTCCGACATGATCTGGATGCCGGCTCGGGAGCAGATAAACCGCTGGTGAATAAGGCCGTAAAGCATCTCGGCGGAGGATTCGATGACCGAAAGATCACTAGCAATACGGCTGTGGTGTCTCCTCTCCCCATGCGTCCGGCCGCCCAAGCCGTCACGCGCATCCCCTGACACATCTTCGTCTTCCTCCTCGTCCTCGTCCTCGTCGTCATCATCATCCTCCGGCTCGACATCGAGGATCATCTGCGACAGATTCGTCAGCGCCACAGCAAGTCACAAGTCAAAGGAGATAGGCACGTACCTCGAGTGCCTCTTTATACATGGCAACCTGTGTTTGCAGGCCGGTAAGGTTGAAGTCATCCTCGATAAACTCTTCAGAGACCTCGGCGAAATACTCGTGGCCGAGGAGCGAGCAAAAGGACGAGATCCAGCTCTCGGGGACACCCGACGAGGTCGACATTCTGGAGGGGTAGGGGCCGCGTCGACGCGGCAGGGCGGGGCTGGAGTCCGAGGACCGGGTGGGATGAACAACTGGGTGTCCGGGCCGTCGCGATCGCAGCTCGTCTTTCTACGACGCGGGCATGTTCAGGCGCAGGGCAATGCGCAATCTCGGTCAGGCTGATGCGGATATGGGGACCGGGGTTGGTCGGCGCGCGTTTTTTGCTCGGCGGGGCTGCAAAGATGCCTTGTTTTGCTTAAGACTGCTGGTGGTTGCCCTTTTGCTTGGGTTTCTTCAGTGAAGCCTGCCCTCATTTCTTGGTGGGCGGTGGACCGTGCGCGAGTCCCCTCAGCCCCGCGTTGTGTGCTGCCTCAGGCGCAGCCCACCTTTTCGGTGTGCGGTGAAGCCATCGCTCCAATCACGTGTCATCGCGCCGCACCGGCATTTTGCAGCTCGTGTCCCCAACGCCACGATTCATCGGTTCTTCTCACCAGCTCGCTTGAGTGGTGCTCGTTGAAAAACGACCAGATATGCGACCCATCCGGGTGGTAGGTTTGGCCAGTTTGCCGCCGCACGCGCTGAAGCCCAGGGGCCCGATCATTCGAGCGCCTGGGCCGGGACAGCTACCAGAAACGTCATGGCCACTCGACGTTGGTACTTTCCGAGAAGCTGCGTTCGAACCAGGAATGCCTCTACTGATGAAAGCCATCAAACATAGCGACTTGGAGGCTCCTAAATACTTCCCCGGCCGGAACCTGCGGAAATGGCTCAAGGCCCCTCGCGATGCTGCTGATTTTAGGCGGTACATGGAGCCATTGACAAACTCCCTCCCTGTTCACTACGAGCTTATGCTTCCTCCCACAAATGAGCCCTTGAATGGCCCTATACGAGATTTCATCACCTATTTATACGCACTTGAGGACCCCTCGCAGCACTTCTTGGCCGACTTGGTTCGCTCACAGATGAGCGATTACCCGGGCCACCACGGGGAACGGTTCATTCCCTTCGACGCACCTTTATCTCTGATGTTAGCGGCCCTGCAGTTCAACGAAGGACGCCCGCCCGCAGCTCGCCTCAGGCAGCTCTACATCGCCCAGGCGTCCCTGAACAGACTTCCCGGAATTCTACGGAGAGACTTCCGCACCCCAGACCTTGTCAGAAACGCGGGTAACGGCGACATCTACAATTCTAGTGTTTGGTTTGGCCTGCAGCCAACCTACACGCCGTGGCACCGCGACCCAAATCCGAATCTTTTTCACCAAATATGGGACACCAAAGAGGTCCGATTACTCCCTCTTGGAAGCGGAAACAACCTGTTTTACCGAACAAAGGCGATGTTAGGAAGCCCCGGGGGCAGCGCCAGGATCCGAGGTCCGGAGATGATGGAAGGTGAAGAACGGAAAGCCTTGCACGATGCAGTATGGGGACCAGATTCCCCCAAGACCATACTAAAAGCTTCTCTCGGGCCTGGCGATACGCTATTTATTCCGAAGGGTTGGTGGCACAGCCTCAGAAGCACTGGATTTATCGGCTCCCCCAATGTATCCGTCAACTGGTGGTTCCGCTGAAGCATGTGGGAAGTACGGGCTCATCGGATTTACGATCCAGGAACCAGTTCACCAGTAGCTCGTTAAGCCAAGCGACGCCACAGTGTCATCACTTCCACCGAGTCGCTCCATTGCAGGATGGTTCAGTTCTAATATGCCAGGTCCCCGTCGCCTCCGCCCCAGCAACCTTGATATCAGCACCGAGGAGTTTGTTCCAAGCCGGTCTCTCGAACTACGGCTTGGTGGTCAAGACGAGCCATCTTCCTTCATCCAGACATGCGTTAGAGGACCTTCTGCATACGGGTGTTCCGTCTCCACTGCTGCCAGTTCATTTCTATCTGCATTCAGTTCTATCTGCCGATGCCTGAAGACTAGATCCAAGGCTCACCAGCTCTAGTTCCAACAACCAGCGTGACCCATTGACACCGGGAACAACCGGATCAAACAGCGCCCAGGATGACAAGGGCATGAGCGTAGCGTGCTGCGTCTCGTTGTATGTCCCGTTCAGGCCCATCTCGACAACCGCCTCGACATACTCAGCTGGAGCTCCTCGCTCGACATGCTTCCCTAAAACCCCGGCAATTGCAAAGGCTTTGTGCCTTTCCACCCCGTTCGCAAACTTCCAGACAAACGGCACCTTGGCATAACCCGACGGCAGGGTTCGGATGTTGACACTGGGATACGCAACACCATCCAACACAAACGACCCTTTCTCCCGCCCGTACGCCTTGCCATCAACATCCCAATACAGAAATGCCGTGATCCATCCAGAGACGTTCAACGCCGCGCCTCCACATTCCCCTGACTTCTCTGCCAAAACGACCTGATTCCAAAACAGCCTCGACTCGTCACTATCGGGATGTTTGAACGACTCAACAATTCTCTCCAATACCGGTCTCAGCCTCCTCCCATATTCCTCTACCTCCGGCCCCAAAGTCGCAAACCTCTCCAGCCTCCGCAATATATTCTCCCAGTCCCTCAACTCCCCATCCAGCTTAACCGACGGCAGCCCGCACAACACCACCTCGTCAACCACAAACTCTGTTCTTTCGTACCCCAGCATGATAATATGCGACGCCATGATACTATTATCCGTCGTCGTCGAAAAATACGGCTGGATAAACTCATACACCCACTCCGCCCCTACCCTGTCCACCACCTCCCCGTATATTGTCACCATGATCAGATACCAATCGGGATACTCGTATATCTCCAACGGCTCCGGCCCCTTCTTCGCAAAGTCGAACACATGCTTTACCTTCTCTTGATTCGCCCGCATATAAAAACTCAGTTGCGTCAGAATAGTTAGCCAGACAATATCCGGCTCGATCGCCAGATGTAGGTGTTCGCTCCACGCTTGGATCGCGCCGCGGATGAGGGAATCGGTCGAGGGGAGGATCGCACGGCCGGGGTACTCCTCGGGGGAGAAAAAAAGGGGTGAGCGGTCGGCCATCAGAAGGGTCGCGGGGGAGGAGCCATTGGGAGAAAGTGAGAATTCGGGCTCGTTGGTGAGGCTAGATTGGAAGAAGGCGTAAGGAGTGGTGGCCCCGGGAGGGCCAGTGTAAGGCTTGGGCGTGCCACCAGGGAGTATTAGGGCGGCAGGGGAGGCAAAGGGAAGGAGAGCGAGGGTGAGAAGGGCGGAGAGCATCGTGAGGGTTGATGCGCGATGTGGCGCGCTCCAGTCAGGGAGGGCTGGAGATTCCGCCGAAGGAGTGATTTGGCGACGGAGGAGCAAACCCAAGCCTTCACAGTCCTGGGAATACATCTCGTATGTGGGCGGGAGAGGCGTGGCGTGTATAGGGGCGGCAACTTGTGGGGAATTCAACCGCCCGTTTACCCAGGCACTATGGAAGCTGACAGCGGCTGCTTTTGGCAGGAAACTAGACGTGTATTGCTACCGGGATGCTGTAATCGTTGGTATTTATTTCGAGATTGCGGGGAAGTATATCTCGGTCGTAAATAGCGCGACGGGGTTGATTTCTATGGCCGAGGGTTTTGCCCCGTTTCCTGTGATGGGTATTCAAAAATGCAACTCCCCCATTCACGATTAATTCCTTTAAAACAGCCCACTTTAACCTGTCGACCAGGGCGCGCACGATGAGTTTCCTTAGGAAACGTCATAGAGGAAAAAACCAATACGTGTTGTTCTTTCAAAGGGATGCCTTACAAACCACATCTGCCTCCTGCATGATTTTTTCTTAGCATTCATATCGCTAATAGTTCTTTGTGAAACAACACTATTGCATTGCAGGAAGCCTTGCATCAGTAGTATTGTTTTCACGGAGTAGGCATAGTGAGAAAATCCGAATGGGAAGTACAGGCAATCAAATTGTGCGATCAGTGCTGGGTACTCCCATTTCCTGTATCCAATTATTTAATTCTCGATGTTGACTCAGACTGGCCTTGTAGATTATTCAGATCCGAGCAATAATACATTTCTACCTGTCTTCGCACTTCCTTATGCCCGTACCATGGTTAGGCTTTAGAATTATAGATAAGGATGAAACGACGTTTGTTTCTTCGAAAGAAAATCTAACTGAACGTGGATGCTTCTCTGCTGACAATATCCATCCACCAATAGTCGCGTCTACCTTCACTTGTTCTCAGTAGAAAAGACACTGCTAGTGAAGTGAAAAAAGGAGTATCGACAGATGAAAGGCACCACACAGCCAAGAATGCCGTTTAGGAGTTTGTTTCTGGAGTCCGTAGCTGGCGCCAGGGTCGATATGCTCACAGTCTGACGGTAGGAAGGCCCTTCTGTACTGGATCGGATGAGTTTCTCCAGGACCAGAGCTTCATATCATCTCTAGGTATCACCTAGCCCTGGCCTATGGTAGGGAGCCTGTACCTATGCTCTCCCGAAACTTACTTCCACGTCCGGAACGCCACAGCCCAACCCAACATCCGCCACCTCGTCATCATACCATCCCATGCTCCCCCTTACTTAACCAGAGAATCGATTTGCGGTAAGTGGCGAAAGCCATAGGGCGGGTAGCGTAGTGGTCAGCGTGTTTACTAAGAGTTTTATCAGCGTTGTTCTTCCAGCGTGTAGCGAGAGTCCTGGGTTCGAATCCCAGCCCTCCCAAACCCCCTTTTTTGCCTATCATTGTCGTAGTGTATGACTCTTCTGTCAAATTTGTCATTATCGTGCATAGAGACCTACGATCTTGCCAGTACCACGCACTAAACATTGCATGTGCTTCTCACAAATGCGGTTGCTTGGTCCTCAAACAGACACCACAATACTTGAGAGGTGGAGAGTCATAGCATAGCCAAGGCCGTCTGCCCCAACATGGCTGGTTGACCGTGTAAGTGACGAGAAAGCCAGCCAATCACGGCCCTCACTGCAAGTCTCACAACGCTGCCAATGAAGAACCCTTCCCCCCCATGGTGCACCTAAAAATCACCCCCACAAAACCCATCCCGCCTCCGGGCACTACCCGTCGCACAGACGAGGTCGAGACATTCCTATTCCGCGTTACACGCTTGAGCCATCTGAGAGATGGTCACACATAACCGACGACGTGGGCTGACATGGCTTGTTGCTAGCGCGCTTAAACCACGTTTTGTGATTCCGTCCCTTGCTCTCTCGACGCGAAGCCGATCCCGGAATTTGGGTCCTGTCACGAAGTGTCATTCTTGATCTGCCACGTAACACGGCGCTCCGTGGTCCGCGGCCCGAGTCGACCGTGTCTGCAGAGTCCACTTGTATGCGTCGCGACTGGCGGCTGGCAACTTGCCAGCCAGTCTTCGGGTCTTGGGCCTTGAAGGGTTGACCAATCACGAGGTAGCGGCTTGGAGCTATCCGACCGGATCCGGGGCGGATCGGGGTGGGGCCTTGGCCGTCTTCATGTCAGCCCGGCAGAGAAAACAGGAATATGCGCTGCGGCTGGTTCTGATTTATTTCGGAAAAGGAGGACTTAGGAAGAATGAAGCCACGCAGTCGATGTCTCGGCAGTTGAGTTGGGCGGATGAGTGCACGTGCAAAAGTGCGTGTTGCAATACGATGGCGATAACCATCGTGAAGAGTATTCGTCCGGTCCTCCGCAAGGGGGAATAGGTGGTGGTGCGGGTCGTCTGGTTGTTTGGGACGGCGGGATCTCCCGCACTAGCTATGGGATCTCAGATTTGCGCGGGGCAATATCTGCAATGGAGCCACAGCAAGTACTTTCAGTGACTCGAAACTCGTGCTGTCGGCGACAATGTCAGCGACCGGGTCTTTTCGGGACGGCGGTGGTTTTTGAGACAGCCACCCGAAGAGTGGACCCATCGGCTCTGTATTGCCGGCTTTCTCACCGAAAACCACAGATGGATGCAAAACTGGCGCCGACGGTACTGAACTGGAGGCCTCACAAGTCGAGATCTGAGATCTGATATGACACCGTATTGGGAAACTGAGCGCGTGCGCTTCAGGGCGTCTACCACACCTCCAAAGGCCCTTCCGAGTCGGCGGATGTCGGGGGATCGGCAGATGTGGAAAATATGGGGGTGCCGGGTCCGAGCAGGATTGCCGGCTTAACGGAGGGGGGTGTGACTGATGTCAGGCCAAGGGAGAAACCGGAACCACTGAGGCTGGAGGGGAGTCTAGACTGCAGATGCCATGCAGGGACGATCCGCTGGTGGATGCGACCCCAGCTTCCGCTCTTGGCGAACTAACGGCCAACATTCTTCCAGCGTTTCCAGGCGTCTTGAGACGATGATGACTTGCAACGGCTGGGCTGACTCTCGAGTGGCAGCTCTTGGCGAGACAGAGGCTGCGATCCGAGCAGCATGATAGACTCAAGGCGTTTGGCGGCCGAGGCTTGCCGCTCCGTGTGTACCTGTTTTCGTTCCCCGCAGCCACGAGGTCGTCGTAACCGCATCGCACAGGCCATGTAAAAAAAATACTTTGGAGAAGGCTTACCGCTCTTTTCCCGGCGTTTGTTCTCGTGACAGACCCAGCTTTCGCGGTTCCGCAGGGAAAGCGCACGAAGGAGCATTGGAGACGAAATTTGCGGGCAGTCACATGTCTGCTCCAGCCCCTATAGGTTACAAGCGGTGCAGGGTTACGTAAATGCCCATGCTGGCTTGCCCCGGGCTCTCGGTCACGCTACTCCAGCACCTGCCCTGTGCGAAAAACTTCATTCCACGTTCGCGGCCTCACTTCCGGATCCAGCAACTGGGCATCTCGCCCAATCTTGTTCCGAAGCGCAGCTCGAAATGCAAAACGCGCCTTGCATTACCTGCAACCCAAAATATCGGGCAATGTCGGAACGCAGCCAGCGAAGTACCTATGACGGAATTAGGTCGTCGGCAAACGAAGTGGGATTTTCGAGCCCATCTGGTGGGGCAATGGTCCCCCGAGGCGGGTGGGTTTCAGGCTGTGCCTGGAGGGGCAGAGGGGCTGGAGGGGTTTGTGTGCTGTAAGCCTCCCAGATCCATGGCATCCGTTGCCACAAGTTCCCCGGCTTCTTCCACGAAAGGCCCATGGATACGAAGTTCGGCATAGAGTTCGGCAGAGTCTGGGCCAGTGTTTTGGGTTCGCACAGTTCAGCAACAGCAACAACAGACAACCATCAAGGCTGGTCAAACTTTGTCCATGGACGATATTCATGATGGCGGGGTACGTACATGCTGCGAGGCTCAGGCCTGTCAGAGCCTTGCCAGCCGCCGGGGAGAGTTTTCTTCGACACCCAGGTCGATCAGTGCGGGGTACGCTTTTCCCTTCACGCCCTCAGCAGCAGGAAAGAAGGCAAAAAGAAACCGGGAGATTCAGGTTGCCAAGGGCTCGGCAATCCAGGCCCCAGATTTTCTTTCCCGTATCTCCAGTAAGGGCTCGGCGAGGTCCTCTCGACCATGCCCGAGTAAGAAAAATGACGGCCTGGGGAAGCTGGAGCTGGAGGGGTGGGGGGGGGCGTTGGAATAGGAGCGGCTTGTTGCTGCACTAGAGCCGCCGTGGTTTCGTCCAATCGCCGACCCGAAAAGGTACACAGGCTGACCTTCAGCTTGCACCGTTTCTGAGTCAAGGGCACGCCCAGCGCTAGGGTCCAAAGATGACGGCGTGCCGTAATAGTTCTCGGCGGCCGTCGTCATGTGCCACGCCTTACGGAAAACCTAGCGTCTCCAGTGACCTCCTGGAGCCCGCTGGCGGCTCTGGCCCCCAGCAGTCTCCTCTGCCGAGCCTCAGCAATGGATACAGCTCCAGCTTACGGCAACGGCAACGGCGAGGACAGGGGTTCCAAAACGACTTGGGACGTAGCGGTTGGCATCACGTTCGGCTGCAGCAGCCCGCATTCGGCTCAAGGCTGTCCCAATTCGCACCGTCGTGGCTGCTTGACGGAAAGCAACCAAAGCTCGGCCAAGCAACGCTCCCGCGCAGCAGCAAATCAAGTGGCGGCTAGAGTAAAGTACATAGGCAGTTGTTTGCCGAGAGCCAGAGATAACGACCTGCATCAAGACTGGAACCCTAACACGTCCATGTGGTGCGGTTTCAACGCACACAAAGCGAGGGCAACAATATCGTGGCCCGTTGTAGCCTATGAGACGGTGCGTCGCCGTGTGCCAGTCCCGAACTGCGACAGGGGTGCGGTGAGGGAGCTCCGGAAACAATTCGTGCCCCAGCGGCCCAATTGCAGGCAGCCCGATCGAGCGCCCAGCGCACCCGGTCCTGTTCCCGGTTTGAGTCGCTGGAGGGTCGACTCGCCAGTGTGGAATGCGGTCATCACGCCCCATTGGGCCCGCTGCCTTGCCCCTAATCCCCATGGGCCCCTTGGGCTCCACGCATTTATATCGGCCCCGGGCCCTGCAAGGACATGCCGCCCTTATCTACGCTACCCGGCCTACTTTCTCCATCTACGCCTCTTGTCAACCCTGCATCAAGTGGATCAGAAGAGATCCCAACGCACCCGCATCGTCTTCGTTGTTGTCGCACCCCCTGCTCTCATCCGGACGCCCGCATCGCATCAAGAAGCACATAAGAACCATGGCCGACCCCGTTGCCAGAACCGCTTCTCCCTATACTGATCCAACAGTCAAGGGCCCTCGCTCACAACGACTCCAATCCGGTCACCGCCAGTCTCGACCCTCCAACAGCAAGTCTTTCCCTCTACTGCGCGCTGTGCATTCAGCTCCGCTTCGTCCGAACTCGTCGACGAGGGAACCCCGCCGCTAACACGAAGATGCAGTGCTCGTCAATACCGTCAACAAAACCGGCCTCCATCCCGGTGGTGTGCAGTCAGTAGCTCCTCGCTCTCCTTTGCCTTTCGAGAACTACCTGCTGACCTTTCCAAAGACCTGCCATGGAGCACACCGAACTCGAGGAGGAACTTCACGAGAAGGCCCACATCGACTATGACCGCGTTGCTATCGTGAGTCTCGACCGCCCGGCCAAACAAGTGATGCACCCGAAGCTGACAGCCGGTCACCAGATTCCCAACCCCTCCGTCGCCGCTCTCTACGAGGACGCATTGGTAAGACGCCGTAACCCCACTTACACGGCCGAGAACATCTGACTAACATTCGCAACAGGTGTACGAGATCGGCACAGCCATCACAGAAAGCGGTGCCCTGACGGCATACTCGGGCAAGAAGACTGGGCGGTCGCCGCTCGACAAGCGCATTGTCAAGGAGGAGACATCCGAGAAGGACATCTGGTACGTTCTACCGCAGAGCTCCAGCATGCGCGAGCCGCACGCAGTTCGCACATTCCTCGCGTTGGAGGACTCTTGAGTCTCAGGCCAGCCGCTGACCTGACTTTTTCAGGTGGGGACCTGTCAACAAGCCCATGACTCCTGAGGTGAGAACCATTTCACTATCTCAAATCCCACTTTCCCCAAGCGTTTGCTCTCATTCGTCCTCTCGGGTGTTCCGTCGCCCAGTCACTAAGCCGAGGTGGCGTTCTCGGCGGCCGCAGTGGTCACAAGCCCCTCTTCGACTGTCAGTCTTTTGCAATTCCAGCATTATGACGGGTCAATGGCTCGAGAACGTCATGCCACTTGGCATTGAAAACTGTCCCAAGACCTCTCCGGACGCCCGGAAGCGCCTGGTCGTGCTGAGCTGATGCTTGCGATCGTCATTGTTGTCATCGTTGACATTGTCGAATCGATG